TGATCGAAGGTTAATTGGTAAACACGTCATCGATCTCTTTTTATTATTGATATATGCAACAATGATAATGAAATTTAATGCGACATAAGAAAAACCAATGTATATAGCTAAAAGCATCACCCTGAATTCATGGATGATGAGCCAATTATTCCTTTAGCAATTCTTTGGGAGAGTGACCATTTTATCACGTTTGGACAAAAAATTTACCAGACTATCACGCCAACAGTAAATTTTGCCAAAATGCCACGCGGCATAATTCGCTACACAGTGTAGCAAATTATGTATGCAAGTAATTCGCTACACAGTGTAGCGAAATATGCCACGTCAGAACGCACAGAACCAAAAATGCCACATGTCAAATTTTGCAAAATTCGCTACATAGTGGCATTTTTGACATGTGGCATTTTTGGTTCTGTGCGTTCTGACGTGGCATATTTCGCTACACTGTGTAGCGAATTACTTGCATACATAATTCGCTACACTGTGTAGCGAATTATGTCGCGTGGCATTTTGGCAAAATTTACTGTTGGCGTGGAAGTCTGGTAAATGTTTTGTCCAAACATGGCACTTTGGTCACTGTTCCCATTACAACTAGTACTAATTATGTAACAAGATTTTGTAATCTTCTTTTTTTTGCCTTGAGAAACCAGTCTTTCATCAGATATCGCTAATTGAATAAATTTCTTTTCAAATATAAAAACAATTAAACCAATCTTGTTGAATAATAAGGATTCCACACAATAATAAGTAAGTTGACTTTTTAGATAACGCCTAAAGTTTTTTTTCAAAAAAAAGCCCCTCTTGACATTAAGAAAGTCGCAAACGAAATTTTATATTTAATATTTTTGGTAGACAAAAGGGCTAAAAGCCCAAACAAAAGGAGAAAAACAACCAAAACCAAAATAAAAGAAACTAAAAATCCCTAAATACGTCTGGGCTTGCTAATAGAAGCTAGGTCCGCTTGAAGAACTAAGAACATCCCAGGAGGAGGATCTTCAAACCACAAGAAAGAAGAATGTTATCCTTTATCCGCTCCAAAGTTGGCTAGCCAATCTGCACAAGAATTACCTTCTCTAAAGGTATAAATGAATTTAATATTCCACTCTGTCGCTATCCATGCTCGTATACGAGTCACTAAATGGGACTCACGAGCTGCATCACCATTCTTGGTGAGCAAAGTGATGACATTGAAAGCATCACTTTCAATAATGACCTGTCTTCATCCTTTGTTCCAAGCTAATTCCAGGCCCTTCAAAACACCCCATAATTCAGCAATAAAGGCAGTGGATACCCCTATATAGTATGAGAAACCACCACACCAAACCCCATCAGAATTACAGAAAATCCCTCCACACGCAGCCTGACCAGGACTACCTCTAGCTGCTCCATCCGTATTCAATTTCACCCAACCCTCATCCGGTTTCCTCCATTGAATAAATTCAACTTGATTATTAGTAATCAGATGTGGGCCAGCATTACTCTCAGCTTTCCAAGCTTCCTGGATCTCCACAACTCTATCAATTATCATTTGCATCATCATGTTGTCGTTAGGTGTATCACAATTATGGACGGTATTGTTTCGCCAAAACCAAATAAACCAAACAGTGCACATAAACAAGGATCTCCAAGAAACGTTGAAAGGCCCCATGCTTATCCTCAATCCAGTTCTCTTGGTTACCGTTAAAAAAAATCGAACCATCAATTCCTGGTGAGCAAACTCTTCCATATTGACTTTATGCGTTCATAGTCTCTAAGGGCATGTAAAATTGTTTCTCTGCTCTTCATACATATATCACAAGTTGAGTTATCAACACCCCAAAGAGCAATCCAATCTCTTGTGAGCAATCTACCATGCAAAAGTTTCCACGGAAATAATTTCATTTTTTGTGGCCCTTTCCACTTCCACACAATATCCCTTTTACGATCTGTGTTACTTACACTCCTGTCCCTAATATCCAGCATATCATAAAAACCTTTCACTGTTGGTATACTACAGCCATTACAAGACCAAACAATCTTATCCGGCCCATCTAATTGACTAGGCGGAAGACAACTTCTGATCACTAGAATTGTGTGTTGGTTCAATAGATTTTCAAGCGGGCTTAAATTCCAATCACTTTTATCATCTACTAGATCTTTAACCCTTAAGTGATGATGATCAATAGGAATCGAGTCAGAAGCTAAATCCACCAGAGCAGTAGGAAAAGGTGTTCATTTATCATCCCAAAATCTAGCCTGATTACCATCACCAATTTCCCATCTTTGAAACGCTTCCATTTTAACCCATACTCTACATAAGTTAGCCCACAATCTAGAATCACCCATTTCGTGAAAAAACAAATTAGGCCTTCTTATGTTGCTATTATATTTAGCCATAAGAACTTGAACCCACAATGCCTGAGGATTATCCTGAATTCTCCAAATCAACTTAGCCAGAAACGCATCATTCATGATGGTTAATTTTTTTAAACCAAGACCCCCCTCTGACTTAGGCTTCGTGAGGGTGTCCCACCCAATAAGATGACAAGCTCGTTTATTATCCCTATCTCCCCAAATGAAATTACGTTGAAGCTTTTCCACCTCCTTGCAAATAGAAATATGCACCTTTCCACTTTGCATATGAAAATAAGGGATAGACGAAATAACAGACTGGGCTAGAGTAATTCTACCCGCATGTGAAAGGCATCTAGTTTGCCACCCACTCAGCTTATCTCTCACTTTTTCTACAATAGCTTCATACACTTATTTTGTAACTCTGTCATGCTGCATCCACGCCCCTAGATACCTCCATATATTACGAACTCTTGAACCCACTAGATTCTGATATGGTCTTTGCGGTCTCCTCAGGAGTATTCCTTGAAAAAAAAAATAGTAGTTTTTTGATTACTAATTTTTTGACTCGAATTTTCTCCAAACAAATGGGAACATTTTAAGATGATATCCAGTTGTTCTTGAGATGCTTCAGCAAATAACATCAAATCATCCACAAACATAAGATGTGAAATTTTAGGCCCATTTTCCCCAACTCGAATAGGCTTCCAAAGACCGCCTTAAACTGCTGTATTAATGATATGAGAAAGTTTCCCCATACCCAGTACAAAAAGATAAGGAGAAAGAGGATCCCCTTGTCTAATGCCCCGTGAAGGAAGAAAATCACATGTTTTACCTCCATTCCAAAGAATATTTATGGAAGAAGAAGAAATTGCTTCTTGTATGATCTCTATAATTTTATTTGGCAACCCAATCTCTTGACAAGTATTCTTTAGAAACTGCCAGTTAATTCTATCATATGCTTTTTCAAGATCAACTTTCATAGCCATGAAAGCTCGTTTACCTCTTATTTTATGCATTGAGTGGATTAACTCTTGCACCACTATAATATTGTCCTGAATCTGACGATGAGGCACAAAACTTACTTGACACGGAGAAACTTTATCCATTATTGGCTTGAGACGCTTCACAATAATTTTGCTGATCAACTTATACTCAACTGAGCACAAGGAGATAGGGCGAAACTGGTTGATATGAGAAAGGTTCTGGATTTTTGGAATAAGTACCAGAAGAGTTGAGTTAAAGTTAGCAATATGTTTAGGATTGCACCAAACATCTAGGACTACATCTATTAACTGTCCTTTAATTTTCTCCCAATTATGCTGGAAAAAACTACTGGATAACCATCGCTCCCTGAGGCCTTAAATCCCTTCATCTGCTTAAGAATGATCAATATTTCTAAGTGAGAATGAGTTTTCTCCATAATTCTTAAATCTTCCTCCACTATGCTAGGCCAAAAATTAGAAGACGACAACCATCTTCTATTAGTATCATCCTCGCTGAAAAGCTTCTTGTAGAAGTCACAAGCCATTCTCCTTAATTCCTCCTTGTCAGTTATCCATTGATGGGCATCATTCTTCAATCTGGAGACTCTATTTGAACTTCTCTTACTAATAGTCTTGAGATGATAGAATCTAGTATTACGATCTCCATCAACTATCCAATCTTGTCTAGATTTCTGGAACCAAAGAAATTCTTCATGTTTCAAAACATCTGATAGATGAGTTTGAAATTTGTCCTCCTTCTCTTGAAGATAAAAGGAATCCTGCTTGCTTCTTTGATTTTGCACCCTCTCTAATTTTCTTACGAGATGCTCTTTGTTTCTCTGAATATTACCAAAGACTTCTTTATTCCACTTCTTCAAAATAGGGATAAAATTCTGAAGCATGTTGTTGATATTAATATTCACATACCATCTCTGCTGCATCAGATTTGGAAATTCTTTATGATTTATCCAACTGGCTATAAATCTGAACGGCCTGTCATCCCATCCATCTTTTTGCTTCTCTAACTTAACAATCAATGGATTGTGATCAGAACCTACTCTAGCAGGAACCTCAACTACCACTTATGAATATTTAACTCTCCACTCCAAATTGCTACAAACTCTATCCAACCTTTTATAAATTCTATTAAGATGATTCCACTTAGGGCCTTGCCAAGTAAAGAAATGACCTCAATCCTCTAAAACCTCATTAAACCTCCTGCATCTACCAATATCCGGATCTGAACCTCCCTTCTTCTCTGTAGGACTTGTGATCTCATTAAAGTCACCTCCAATTATCCAAGGCCCCTCGATGAGACTACTAATGTGACATAAATCCTCCCAGAGCTTTGTCTATGATATTCTTGAGGGCTTGCATAAACTATGGTTAACATGAATTTATCACCTTCCTTTGGCTCTACTTCAGCATGAATGAATTGGTTAGATTAGGAAATCAAAGTCACACTCATTCTGTTGGATGCCCACATCAACCAAATCCCCCCTGCAAACCCTTGAGCTTCAACTACCAACTGTTTATCCAAACCTATTTTTTTCATCAAACTATTACAACGACTCCCTGGAGTCCTTGTTTCCAGAAAACTAATCAAACTAATCCTGTTCTTTTTCAAATACAATTTGAGTGTGCAAGCAAAACTCCTTTTATCTGCACCACGACAATTCTAAATTAGCAAATTCGTAAAGAATGTGACAATTGATTGTGATCTTCATTAGACCATTCAGGCTGCATATCCTCTATGCTGTTCATTAAATGCTCTTCTAGGCGATAGCCCTCATGGCTATTATTGTTTATAATATCTTCTTGCATCAGATCTTGTGGATCTGGTGGTTTAAGAATATGTGGTAAACTTAGCACCTGAGAATGACCATATTGGCCATGAGATGGCTGCTGTTCAACATATATAATATTACTAGAGGGCCCCACATTTCCAACCTTTTGTGATAGATGTTTTTCACAGGTGTCTTTCCCATTACCTGATGAGTTACACATATCTTCACTTCTATTGTTTTTAACCCAAAGATTACGTTGTTCAGCCTTTATCTTTTCTGCCTCTACCCATTCCACATTGTTGATTGGAAGAGTGGCGTCGTACCCATTATTATTCTCCCCATCTTTGCATGCTAACTTGTATGATGTTCCGGTATCCACCACGTAAACTCCTTTTTGTTTATTTTTCTTGGATATCAAGTGGGTCTTCCTAACCTCAGATGATAACTGAAGATTCGTTTGCATCCCCGCTTCATGAATTCTACGAGATCGCTCCTCATCTTCAGCACCATTCATATTCCCCGAAACAACAAACCTTGACTGATAAACCCTTAGTTCATCAAGTTTTTCAGCATGAATTAGTATCAATTTTTGTGATTAAATGATGAAAAAAGAGGTTAATGTCCTAGAATTTCCTCAACTACAAGTTCAAGAAGCTTTATTGAGAATTTGTATTGTTCTTGTAGAAAAGCTAGCTAAAAAGGCAATTGGAGAAGGAAGGAGATTTTGAAGAGGAGAAAAATGCCCAAGTGTTGAGCGCTAAAACGTCTACACAGAACGTTTTAGCGCCCTGTTGCAGAAAGAGGCCAAAACTTGTTGGTGCTGAGCGCTAAAACGGCCACACAGAACGTTTTAGCGCGCTGCTACATTCTGAGGACGAAAAGTTGCTGGTCTTGGGCGTTAAAACTTCCTTCAACGAACGTTTTAGCGCCCCAATGTTTAAAAATCTCTGGTCTCCAACGTTAAAACGTCCAAACCAAAGTGTTCTAGCGCTGGAGTCAGTTGAAGACAATTGAGTATTCACGAGGCATGAACGCTAAAACGTCCAATTATGAACGTTTAAGCGTTCAAGTTAGTTTAAAGCAGTTGGGCATCCGTCAAGCATGGACGCTAAAACGCTCATTATGAACGTTTTAGCGCCCATATTAAAATTCTGTTTTAAATTGTAAAACTATATAAGGCAAAGGCCTTCACAAGTTGGAAAAGCTGGAGTCTTTCTCTCTCTCTCTCTTATATCAGAATTTCTGATCTGACTTCTCTCTAAAACTCTTAGACTTAGTCTTTGTATTAGTTAGTTTCTCTATTGTAATTGCACTTGGAGATTGAAGATTCACTACATGGAAATGGAGTTTGATCTTTCTTCTCTTTTATCTTCTTTTGTTATGTCTGAGTAAAGTCATTGTAGTCTGAATTCAATGGAACTCAATGATATTCTTATGTATATTTGATTAATATGATGAAGTGTTTTTCATGTGTTGATGTGAGATTTTCTGATTCAATTCTTTCTACTAAGGGAAGAGTGTAGAACAGGAATGTTTACACTATTCCTATATTTGACAATTTCATCATCAGGTTTATAGTACTCAAGGAATTGATGCTATAGTTTTGATGTAGTCTTAAGACCTTAATATTTCATGCATATATTAAGAAAGGTATCACCAAGGGATTGGGGTCTCTGATTAATGTATCCATCAGGGTAGTAAGGGATTACATCTTGAAGATAAGTAAAAGGTTGATTAACATCGCATGAAAAAGAATTCATCATATGATCAGTTTACTTGAGTTCATTGTTGAGGAAAGTTGTTTTCTGACTACTGGTTTTTATAAATCTTAGTTCAAATTGTTAGTATTAAATTAATTTACTTTCAAATTAAATTTCTGGTGACAAAACATTCATGATTTTTACAAATTTTTGTTTAATTCAAATTATTTTTCTATGGTTCATTGGTGCTTGACACAAATCCTTGTGGGAACAATCTTTACTCATCATTTTATTACTTGTACGACTAGTACACTTCCTAGATACGCAACAAGTTTTTATCATTCCATTTGTCACTCTCTTTTGTGCCCTATCCTTGATCTCATTCTTTTCATTCACCGAACTTACCCCAGCAAACCTGCCTCTTCTATTCTTTGTGACTACCATCCAAGGACCATATTGCGAGTTAACTAGACCATCTTTATTGCCTTCCTCCTGACTATGGGTCTTATCTTCATTGACCTTCATCGTTTTATCAGTAGCTTGGCTATCAACACGACTCACTGTAGGACAGGTTTCCATACGATGACCATATTGGCCACAGCCAAAGCATATTAAATGAAGACCCTCATATTCCACTCTTTTAATCCTTCCATCTAATTTGTACTCAGCTTGTAATGGTTTACTTAGATCCAGTTCAACACATAAACGAGCAAATCGCCCTCTATGAAGAGTATTTGTTGCAGCATCCACCCTTATGAACTCTCCCAGCCAATCACCTATTTGTTTAATAAGTTTCGTCTGAACATACTCCATAGGAAAGCTAGGTAATCTTACCCAAGCCGCGATCTTGTCAATGGTAGCCCTATAAGGCTGAAAATCTGGTTCCCATAGACGCACTGCTAGGTAGTGATCAAGAATGATCCAGGGTCCCGCAATTAGTGCAAACTCCATGTCAGATTTTTTTGTCAAACCTCACAAGTAAATAATCGTTATCTATATCTGTGACATGGATATATCCACCCTAGCCCACATCGCCTCCAGTCTTTTCCTCATAAGATTTAGAGAAATACTCTTCCCTAACAGTTTCACAATGAGACATTGACTCCAAGACTTCCACGCTCGTTTCTTGAAATTCTCTGAAAGTTTGAAATTGGTACGTCCATCGCCGTCCACTTCCCAAGATATCTCAGGTGTACTATCCTTTTCTCCTTCAGCCTCAATCCTTTCTTCCTCATCTGGAACGCCAGCTTCTTCCTCCATTAAGTTTCTCTCCTCCTCGTTTTCTGAATATTCTCCATTATGTTCCATCAGGATCTCTCTATACGAACGTCTATCCTCCATCCACTCTTCCACTCTAGTAGCCAATGACTGATCATTACTGAATGAGCCCTCACCTTTGTACTTCTTTTTGGTTCGATGAAGGAGATCTCTCTCTTCTTTTGATAGGGCAGCGTCGGCGGCAGGTTTTTTCCATGAAACCCTAGCAGAGCATCAATCAGTATATTATGAGATTATAAAAAAAAAAGTATAGATTTTATATTTTTATTATTAACACAAAATTTTGGAGTCATTAAAGAAAAAATGTTTTCTTAAAATTTCTTGATTATATAAATTTTAATTACGCTATTTTGAATATAAAATAATTCGATTCAAACCCACATTAACTTAGGCAATTTAAACAAAAGCAATGATCACAAAGATAATTTTAAGATTGAATTTCGAGTTGATTAAAGTGAAATCTTCTAAGGAAAATTGAGTAAAATATTTTCATGTTATATCTTTCCTATATCCTCAACTTTTCAAGTACTGTAATGTATTTGGTAACAGCTTCTTTCTTTTTTTTCCTTTTTTTTTAAAAGTAGTTTTAAATTAGCCCAAAAAGTATTAGAAGGTAAAAGAGAGGAAAAGAAAAATATTGATTTCATTGATTTGTGGTGAATGATTTGTACAATGAGTGAGCTCTTATATAGAAGAGCATAACAGAAAATAGAGATCTAGAATATCATTAAAATACTAAACTACCCTTATACTTAATATCTAATACTCCCCCTCAAGATGGAGAGTGAACAAAGAGAACTTCCATCTTGAACAATAAAAACCAAGAAAACATAATAACCAAATAAAAAATCCTGAATGAGAAATCAAAATCTTCAGAGTGCTGGAATGAGCTTCAGCAAAATAATGGTGCTGGTATGGACATCAGCTAAAGAAGGGAGGGCTGGGATGGACATCAGCCACAAAATACTAAATGGTGCCGGGATGGACATCAGCAAAATCAAATGTTCTGAAATGAACATCAGTAAACTTGAATAACACCACAAACAAATGTGGGAATAAAATCTAAGTGGCCAAATACAAGCCAGAAACAGTACATCAAAAAAATAAAAATAAAATAAAAAACCAAAAATAATAGCAGTGTTGCAAAAACATCCATAGTTCATGAATCTTCACAAACCTGCAAAATGAGAAAAGAAAAGAAAAACAAAGAGACAGATCTGGAACAGATCAGGAAAAAATATTAGAAAATAAACACGACCGAGAAGCAACTGGAGAAGAAGAAAACACAGATCAGAAAACGTCAACGATCTGGAATGGCAGAGACTGTCGGAGAAGGAGACTGTGACCGGAAAAAAAAATGCGGCCAAAAATGATGACCGGAGAAGGAGACACGAAGAAGATCCATGGAGGTCCAACGAAGACAGGAGCGACGTGGTTCGGTGGTTGACAGGTCGCACGAAGACAAGAACCAGAAATAGAACAGCCACGAACGACGCCGGTGAATGAATGACGCCTTTTATGAAGGTGCAGAAACAAAGGGGCGCAAGTTGAGAATCAAAGAAGAACAGGAGAAGCGAGTTGATTTCTCACTGGTGAAGGATCAGAACAAGAATAGTAACAGTAACGATAATAGAGAAAAAGAAGTAGGAAATGGAAAAAAAAATTACAGATCTGTAACGTAAATCACTGGAGAATGCTGGAAAACACAGGCAAACAAGATACATTGGACAAAAAATAAAAATCCGAAGTAGATGACCCAAAACAACGAAGAAATCACAGATCAAGGACATAGAAAAAGGAAGGAGAAAGAGTAGCTCTGATGATAAAAAAAATGCACAAATGGAGATCAGATCCGGAAGAAAGGAAACAAAGAAAAGAAAAAAAAAATAGTGATTGCAGCAGAATCTCCGTTCATGGAGGATAAAAATGCTCTGATACCATATTAGAAGGTAAAAGAGAGGAAAGGAAAAATATTGATTTCATTGATTTGTGGTGAATGATTTGTACAATGAGTGAGTTCTTATATAGAAGAGCATAACAGAAAAGAGAGATCTAGAATATGATTAAAATACTAAACTACCCTTATACTTAATATCTAATAAAAAGTAAAAAAAAAATTAATCAAAAAATTAATTAATCCCACCACGGATTTAATCTTAAAATTGCATCTCAAGATGCTAAAAATGAATGATTGCAATTATGAGGTATCGAATTCGAGTATTAATAGCGATAACTTTATCATTTTGTCCGATTCGAATCGAAATTGATAAATCCGTGAAGGAATTTTAAAAGTTGCAATTGTTGAATAATTTAATTGCGGTTTCGAATTCTATACAGTTATTTGGTTTTTTTTTTTTTTTTTTTCATTCCACAACATGATTTTGGGATGATAATTCGGATTGATATGACATGATATCAATTGAAAAGCTAAACAAAACGTTAGACATGAACATGACCAATTTATTTTACGGATTGATATGATTCAGCACACCACAAATAACAAGCATACTTCAAAGTGTATTATTTATTATGAGAATTAACATAACATGAATAACCTGTTAACCTAATGTGTTTCGTTTTTTATGCAGATTAACATGACACAATAACACACAGTATGTATAGTAAATTATGCTTTTATTGAAGTTGTGTTGACATAACATGATACGAACAATCTATAAAAAAATTAGCATGAGTCAATTTTGTGTTTGTGCATAAATACGAAATACAATATGAATTTTTTCATAATTTAAAATGAGTTGACCCAAATTCGAATGTCCAGTATCATGTTGTGTTATGTACGCGGGTTATAGTTAAAATTAATACCCGTTAATTTTGATTCATCTTTTTAGGAAATTTGACTCTAGGCATGGTGAAGGGGCGTTGGCCTAGTAGGTATAGCTTCCTCCTCTACCTTATCTCTCATCGTTGCTCTTCTCAACCAGACACCCACCCACCACTCTCTTCAAAGTCCAAAATGCTAATCATGCTGGCGTGACAAGAACATAAAGAACAAAATCATCCTGGATCCCACTATTATAACACTACTTACGTTTTCAGGTGTTCATTGGCGAATGCAAAACCATTATACATGCGAATCATGCCTGATATCAAACGTATCTTTAATTTAAATTAAAAGTAAACATGCCCCCCCCAAAAAGTTGAAATTACTTTTCTGTACTTTTCCTAAAAAAAATAATAAATCTTATAACTCAAAATTTGTAATTGAATTTCTATAGTTTATAAAATATTTAATTGAACCTATGAATCTACTCTGTCGTTTACAAGAGGGCGTTTGGTATAGGAATTTTTTTTTTTAACCAGATAGATGTAATTACTAAGAAAACGGTGGAAAAGTAAATTTGATAGGAAAGTTTAAAAAACGTTGTTTGATTGACTAAAATATTACTAGAGAAATTAAATTAAACTATATGAGTTCATGTTTGATTGAAAGTAAAATATTGATGAAAAAATTGGTATTAATGACCAGAATAACCTTTATTTAAATTTTAAATTATTACAAAATGTTTTCCCATTGTTCATCCACTTTTTGTCAAGAGATGATGGGGTAGTTGTGCGTGTACTTTTGGGGGTAGTTTTGTCATAATAATCATTTACTTTTTGCCATTTACTCATGCTTGTTGAAATACCATGCTCAGATTGGTTAAGTGGCACAGTGATTTTTCTGCTTTTTTGCACACGTTTTATAATAGCTAGGCAATCGTGAAAGATGGATATATTTTTGCTTCTCTTCTACCGAACGAAGAAAACTTAATATCCCACTCATAGATTAATGGGGAACTTGACAAAAATCTTGAACCAAACAGCCCCTAAGAATCTAATAAAAATATTTTAATTACATGTACCTAAAGAAAAAAATAAAAGCAAAAACTTCCTTAGCCTGTTTGTTTGGTCTTTTTAAAAAAGTAATTTTTATCTTTTTCTTATTTTAGAAGTGCTTTTTATAAAAGTTAAAGTTATTTATATTTTTATAAAAATATTTGGTTTTTAACTTTTATTTTTTTTAAAAATTAAAATTTTTAGCTTCTGAAAAAAAGTAAGTTTTTGACTTTTTTGTGACTTCTGTTTTTTTTAAAACAGACATCCAAACAAACTAAAAATAAAAAGTACTTTTTTTCTTGAAAAAAAATAGCTTTTAAAAAAAAAAACTCAATCAAACAGACCTAAGACGAGCACCCAAATTAGGATCATCGAAGAATTCAAAATAAGGTATTCTCCACTTTTTTTTAAGTACTGACTGAAATATTCAAAATTGAGAAACCTTGATCGACCAGTTTCCCTAGCCCAACCAATCAACTTGAGGGAACATATCAAAAGAGAAAAATCAAAAGCCAAACATTTAAACAAAAAAAACATATATCCAATAACACTATTATTACTATTTACAAAATGAAAAATAAGAAGAAAAAGAAAATGGATAGTATAGCTAAATGCTTAAATATTCTATGATCAAAAACAGAGGAAAACAGAGAGCAGGGGAAGCAAACAAATCCTCCCTCGGCAATCTGCATACATCAATATACTAATCCAAAACCCTACACCATATTCTGACCCTATGAATCACCAACGGAAATGGGTTGGCCGGAGATCCCCAACGGCGACCGTGAAATCTGCCGGGAAATATCCCGGAGAACAGGCCTGACCTCAGGCTTCGC